GTTACTACTACGCTTATATATATTTAGGCTGACCAGCCTCTTTGGATTTATACCCCAAATTCACGGTCGTAAATCTGTGCGAACCGGTGAGTACTCCATTTTTATTTGCTACCATCACCAACGATAACAATTTCTTAGCCAGTTTTGCGTCGTACCACTTTATCCCCCTAAAACTGTTATACTTCTACCTTTTATCTCACTGACACTCCGTACTTCAACCACTTATGTGGTTTGCCAATTTGTCAGTATTTCTATTGCCAACCTGCGGGACTCGTTAAGTGTATGCTTTTTTACCCGTCATAAACCATTGTTCCATTGTACAATGTGTTTGCAATCATTTACAAAGGCAAACACGTCCACTAATCCTGCTATGGACCACTGTTTCAGCTAGTCTTAGAAGCAGTCATGTGTGCCCGCCGTGACACAGATTGTTTTCGACTTGGCAACTACTCGGAAACACTTTGTTGTTGGAAGTAGGCAATTCCGGAGGTATTGTTGAAGGAGGAAAATTGCTCCACACTCTATGCTTACTATGCGTATGCAATGCTCGTTGGCAGCTTATATCAGGGCCGTAGGGTCACTTGACATTTCAAGCTTATCAATCACTTGGAAATGAAGTATACATATCATGTCGAAACGCAGGATTGACCTGCATCTTACGACCTTAACATAATGGCAGGTCCATGGGTCCTGTAGCGGTAACTGATTACCGAAGTGGCGCACAGGTGTGGAAACGAACGCACACTCACTAATGTCATGTCACCGCCACACTAGGATCCCTCCTCTTTGGAACAATGGCTACAGATCCACTGATGGTCTTACCTACACAGCGAATTTGACCTTAGTATACAATGCGCCGATTACATCAGCAATACATAGCCACACTATTCCCATGAGTGTACGGCCAACTGGAAAACACAGTACGAGAACTTTGTAGCTGTAAAGCTTTTAAAAATTCTATTTGCGTAGAAGTCCTAGCTTTACCTTCATACGAATTACTGCATTGTTTCTGATTACCTCACACTGCCTTAATAATCGCACGCATATCCTAAGCGAAATCGCACACCTATCGATTTACCGGATTGCTCGCAACGGCACAATCACACTGCATACAGCATCACGTGTGGCCAGGCGAGCAAGGGAGCGAGTGTGCAGTCAACCCATAAGTCTACCAAGCTTCCAGCAGCCTGCAAGTTGCAACCTCAACACAATCAACCAATCCGCTACTTATCACTACTCAATTGGACGTCATCTCGCTAGTGTAAGCCTTCAAATTTTCTCTTCCAACAGCCTGCAAGGGTTGCATTCTCAAAAAAACGGCCAATCCACTTCTTAGCATCCCTCACTTAGATGTCTCTCGCTCGCCAGATTGCCAGTGTGACCAATCACGTATTATGTCTCCCATTGGCTGAGCACCCTGGACACCATTGATGTGTGCTGGTACACCGATTTCGATCAGCAGATAGACGACGACAAACGGAGCCAATGGTACCGGGAATTTGCAAACCTACTACCGGCCAGCAGGTAATTTTAAACAAAACATCGTTCCAAAATATGCTCTTGTTTAAAAGTACCAGCACATTATGTGCCGCACCAATGCGCGCCAGAAGGAAAGCCGCAGCGTTCTCTCTGAAGTCAGATCGTCCAATGGAGATGACCGAAAGCGTCCATACGACTGCACGCGCGCACAGCGTCACATTTGTTAGTCTTCCCTTTGGCGTGGCCGCAGACTCGACCCCAAAAGTGCATCCGTGGTATGCAGCGGACCAATGTAGTCCAGAGCACACGAGTTTACTGGGCTACTAACTGAAGCGATCGATATTACTGGTTCACCAGCGGCTTCCTTGTATTGTCGAGGGTGCTCAGCCAATGGGAGACATAATACGTGATTGGTCACACTGGCAATCTGGCGAGCGAGAGACATCTAAGTGAGGGATGCTAAGAAGTGGATTTTAGGCCGTTTTGTTGAGTCTGCAACCCTTGCAGGCTGTTGGAAGAGAAGATTTGATGGCTTACACTAGCGAGATGACGTCCAAATGAATAGTGATAAGAAGCGGATTGGTTGATTGTGTTGAGGTTGCAACTCTTGCAGGCTGCTGGAAGCTTGGTAGACTTATGGGTTGACTGCACGCTTGCCTTCCTTGCTCGCTTGCCTATCTGGCCACACGTGATGCGGCATGCAGTGTAATTGTGCCACTGCGAGCAATCCGGAGAATCGATAGGTGTGCGATTTCGCTTACGATATGCGTGTGATTGTTAAGGCAGTGTGAGGTAATCAGAAACAATGCAGTAATTCGTATGAAGGTAAAGCTAGGACTGCTTCGCAAATAGAATTTTTAAAAGCTTTACAGCTACAAAGTTCTCGTGCTGTTTTTCCAGTTGGCCGTACACACATGGAAATAGAGTAGCTACGTATTGCTGAGGTAGTCGGCGCATTGTATACTAAGGTCAAGTTCGCTGCGTAGGTAGGACCATCAGTGGATTTGTAGCGATTGTTCCAAAGAGGAGGGTTCCTAGTGTGGCGGTGATACGGCATTAGTGAGTGTTCGTTCGTCTCCACACCTGTGCGGCACTTCGGTAATCAGTTACCGCTACAGGACCCATGGACCTGCCGTTATGTTAAGGTCGTAAGATGCACGTCAATCCTGCGTTTCAACATGATATTTGCACTTCACTTCCAAGTGATTGATAAGCTTGAAATATCAAGTGACCCTACGGCCCTGATATAAGCTGCCAACGAGCATTGCATACGCACAGTAAGCATAGAGTTTGGAGCAATTTTCCTCCTTCAACAATGCCTCCGGAATTACCTGCTTTCCAACGAAAAATTGTTTCCGAGTAGTTGTCAAGTCGATAACAACCTGTGCCATGGCGTGCACACATGACTGCTTCTAAGATTAGCTGAAACAGTGGTCCATAGCAGGATTAGTGGACGTGATTGCCTTTGTAAATGATTGCAAACACATTGTAGGAACTCCCGCGGGTGACACAACAGTGTTTGTCTGTTCCAAATACTCACCTGAGTTACTAGAGTAAATGCCTGCGTGGCCACTAATTACAAGTCTTGCGTTCTTTCTAGCAAGATGATGTGGCATGTATAAACACTGTAGTCATTGTAGCTTCTTTGTTGAATAATGCCGATTTCATGAGGATAGCATGCTAGTCTATGGACGTAATAGAGAGGTTCCATCAGCATTGGCTGTGTTTCCAATGATTCCATTTGGAGAGCCACTTGTCAAAGCGTCTCAACATGCATGGGCGACCATATGTAAGCGAAGCGTATTTATCCTATGAATAAATACGTTTCTGTTACCTTTACCTATAGCCATTCATGGAGACGCTGAAGCGATAACTGTTTAAAAAATTAGCCTATGGGTGTGGAGACAAACGAACACTGACTAACGTCGTGACAACGCC